GTTCAAATCGGGCGATACAAACCTCGCAGATGAAAAAGGAAAAGGTCGACCATCATATTTCGACGACCAGGCACTTTGGCAGCCGTGGAAGAGGGCGAAAGCTTGACAACTTGGATGACTTGGTGGCCGCCGTCAAAGAGTGGATTGCCTCTAAAAACAGCAACTTCTTCGCCCGTGGAATCAACCGGCTGCCAAGCAAATGGGAAGCAGTAATTGAAGTAGATAGTGAATGTCAGAATTCGTGGGGGACCCATCCAGCCAATTTCCATACTTTTCCGAGCTTTTTGAGACGACGAACGATGGTCGAATGGTCCACATTGAAGTCTTCGGCCAACATTCTCGTTGTCAAGATTTCGTCCTCTTCCACAGCTGCCAAAAGTGCCTGGTCGTCGAAATTTGATGGTTGACCACTTCCTTTTTCATCTGCGAGGTTTGAACTTCTTAAACCATCTTTCAACTTGGCTTCTGCTGATTGTTGCTTCACCAAAAAATTCGTTGAGATCGCAAAATGACTGGGTTGCATTCCAACCTTTCTCGAAGTGGTAGAGCATAATTTGGTGAATATGAATATGATTTTCATTATTTGAAAAGAGAGGATTATTGTTGTGAAAAAAAAAATAAACAAAACGCTAATTTTTAAGACGAAAGAAGTCGCGAAAAAATGCGCAATAATTATGCACCAACCCAATACATACAGTTGTATGTTTATATATTTATGAATATATGTTGTACATTTATGTAGGTACGAATACATTTATGGATATAGTTAGGTTTATATTTTGTAATTGGTAAAATTTATGGTTATACCTCATTTAATTTACGTATACTTTAGAATATTTATGATTTGCAACATTATGTATACAATAATAAGCTTTATAACTAAGATTTTTTACTTGTACAAATATAAATTTTTATAAAAAAGATTAGTATATGATAAAATATCATCAGCAATATTTAAAAGAATTGATTTTAAAAAATTGACATTGACAAATATTTCATAATATATTCATGTATTCATAGATTCATTTAAATAATGTATTAAATGTGACCATTGAAATTGTTAAATTTTTGACAATTCAATACGTACACAACAATTAGGTAAGAATAAGCATTAATATAATATAATATCTACAAAAACACAAATTCATTTCATTTACACGATACAATTAATATTTTAATTTATTCATTGATCAAATATATTAATTTGTGAAAATACAAAAAAGACATTATGATGAAATATACAAATATGTAAATATTTAAATTAAACATTAATTACATATTTTGAATCTAGAAAATATTTTCTCAGTAGAAAAGAATAGAATAATTGTAAATATCTTGAAATGTGAAATCTGAAAATATTCTATTCATGATAGTGTATTTAGCAAATATAATAAATATGAAATTTGTATATTCATTTAAAGATACGAAAAGATACGCAATAGTTATATAAAAAATATTAACAACTAATAAAAGGAAATATGAGCATATTAAAAGTAATATTTTGTTTCATGAATTGCTTGTAATGTATAATAAAATACTACAAATAACTTGTGTCTATCTCAATAATAGCAATTAAATCACATATGTTTCATGTAAATGTACAACTAATAATTACAAAATTTTGATTAAGAGAACTTTTCAATTATTTTTAGAAATTCACAAATATGATTGATTTTAATTTCAAGTACTACTTTTAAACAAATAATCGAAAATTTTTAAAACAGTTTTTTACTACTATATACATTTAAGTTTGTATTTATTTGTAATAATATTCGTAAAAAGAGATGAATAGTTGTTATATTTATGTATTTTAATTAGGAATAACAAGATTAATAATTTTTTAAAATTCTGAGAATAAATATTTCGAATATAAAAAATGTTTAAATATTTTGATATGTTTAATGTTTAATTTAAATATTTGAAAAATGTTTATCTTATTTTTGATAAAATATACGTTTACTTAATGTCAATTTACAGTAACAAATTGCATTAAAAAAATTTCACTCTTTTATTTATATTTAGTATAATAAAAATTGTAATAAAATAATAGCGTTATGCTATTTATATATAATTTGAAAATAAAGGAAGTTCATTAATTATTAATTTGTTGTACTATATTATTTACAAATTATATTTTATCGATATTGAAAAACTGAAATGAGTAAGCAATAAATAACATAGAAAAATAATAAGCATAATAAAATTTAATATTTTGTTAAAATTTTATAACCCGAGGGAAAAAATTCCTTGGTAATTATGTATTCAACGTTTGATGTTCACATCTAGAGAAAATTATTCGATATCCCTAGACAAATCCCATTCGTTTCTAATTATAAACAATTTGTGTAAATTCCTTTAAAAAATCTTTAATGTTTAGTGATTGTTCTGTGCAGTTAATTAAGTTTCTGATCGAAACTACGTAATGAATAATTAAAACACATAATTAGAAGATTCAAGAAAGATTTTGTTGATTATTTAGCACACTTCAAGTGAAGAGAAACTTCTTACTGACATAATGTATGCTATTTGCAAGTAATTTTTACGAATTTCAATTATTAAATTTCATTTGTAGGGACAACTATTGTTAATGTTTGAAAAAGATTAGTAATTTATTGCGGGCACTTGAAATTTTGCACAATTTCTTTCTGCATTATTTAACAACAATTCTCTAAAAAAAAAATTCAAATATCTTTTTTCAACTATTTTGAAACAAATTATGAAAAAAATGTGATTGTGTTGAAATCTCCTTTTTTTTAGATAATACTTAACAGAAATATCATTTAACAAAATCTTTGAACTGATGATTCATAATACATTTTCTTTCTCCTATTGTGAAGTATTCTTAGTTCTCATTGTTAAGCAACATCACTGATAAATTTGTTTATTATCTTTAAATATTCTTTCTCTTACATTTTTATTAGTACTAACAAAGTAGTTATAAATTATAAATCAGAATATTATTTGTGTATATTTTGATTCTCTCATTGCTATTATTTGGCAACATAATATTGGTTATTTCATTATTTAAATTCTATCAGTTGCAATATTGTTATTAGAAAAATATATTCATTGCTGTGTATACTGTGCATACTGTAATAATTTTATATAGAAAAGCATGAAGTTGCTAATTATATATAATTAATGAATATCTTTTAAACGTATAATTTTATTTGATAATAACATATATTTTATTATATTTTTGCTTTATTTGTATAACCCTATATGAATCATAAAGATAATCTACAACATGTAAAATTAATCAGGTACTCGTTTAAAAATCCTAATTATCATAAAATGTAAGACTGTGTTCCTTATGTTATATAGTTTTTTAATTTTGTAGTCATTCTTGGCTATGTGCTTAGAGTAGATCCAGTATATAGCAAACATATTTGCTTATTAGGTGCGTTGGAATATAGGTAGTGCTGCTGTTCATCTCTTCAAGTATAGGTATCTCTATGATGTTTTCATCAGGTCTTAGCTGCAATCTATCATTTCCCAGTTGTCTGGGTTATCCACAGGACAACGAAGAATTAATACCAAAAATGGCTAGAGAGCCAATAATCCTTAATGTTTATGACATGGTAAGATGTATAATTTTTTTTTAAATTTTTATTGATGTGCATGTAATAAATACATTTTCTGTTTCAGTATTGGATAAATGAATATACTACCCCAATTGGATTAGGTGTATTTCATTCAGGAGTTGAAATATATGGAACAGGTATAATATTATATATTATATATACGCATGTATATATTTTTTGAATTTATTAAGAACAAAATTGAATTATTTTCACTAATTTGTAGAATATGCATATGGGGGTCATTCTAAACCAATTTCTGGTATTTTTGAAATTACACCAAGAGTTGCTGAAGAATTAGGAGAGCAATTTAGATATAGGTAAAGATATTGTTTTAGTAAGAATGTGTTTATATTATTTCAAAGGAAGAATATATTTATTTACCATTGTAGGCAATCAGTACACATTGGATATACAGACTTTACAGAAGAAGATGTAACTAGGATTGTTACTGAATTAGGAAAAGATTTTAGGGGTGATCGTTACCATTTAATGAATAAAAATTGTAATCACTTTAGTAGTCAACTTACACTTGTATGTTTATAAGAATATTATATAATCACTTTTTAATTGATCTAATGCTAATATGATATTTTTATTCTAAATTGTAGATTTTATGTGGTCAAGAAATACCGGGTTGGGTAAACCGCCTTGCATACTTTAGCTCGTGTGTACCCTTCCTTCAGCGTTGTTTACCAAAGGAATGGTTAACGCCTGACGCACTTCAACACTCCTTAAATCAAGTCAGCCATGAAAGTACATCTTCTGAAAGTACGTCTTCTGATACTTCCTTGTAACATTTGGCAAATTTTTTGAAACGAAGAGATTTAAAATGCCATAGGAGTTACACCATTTAGAGAATTTATGCGCAAAGGAAGTTTATCGTGACAGTAACTACATTGCCAAGATGATGGAACCCAAGAAACAAAGCCGTCAAAATGAGGTACAAATTTAATATTGTACTCTAGAATTGCAGTGGTGATTTAATAATACAGAAAAAAATGCCTTTCTTGCAACATGTCGTCTTTTAAATTTTGGACGGCAGTATACATTGTCGCGTGTGTTCTTTGTTGTATTATACAGTCGAAATTTAACAGATATATATACTTGCTAGATAATTACGCATAAATCAAAGGCATAAAGAGACTGGAACGTATTTATTCATTAGTTAATCACGTTAATTTTTTAGGAAATGTGAGTAAGATTTTATATACGTAATATCTTTTATTTCAAATTGTATTTGAAAATTAATATTTGTAAAACACACAGTACATTGAAATTATATTTTAGAAGTATCTAGTGATGTTTTTCTGAACATTGAATAATAACCTGGTTTACATTATGCTATAAAATATGCTACGTATACATGCGACACCTCTGTACAGCTGCCATTAATATTGTTAGGACATTTAAATGAAGAATGAATTTAATATTGACATTCATATATAATAAATAATTAAATTACGAATAATTTTTTTTCATCTATGATTTAATGAAAATATGTTTTCTGCAAATACTTTTATAAGGAACATATTTATAATTTTGTAATTAAGATGTTCAGTATTCAATTTCTGCACCATTGGATGCTCTTGAATTTTGCACGATATAGAACAGTAGAATTAATATAGTATTATAATTATAGTATTATAATATAGTATTATAATTATAGTATTATAATTATAGTATTATATTTCGGAAGCCTTTGTCAGATTTAGAATCTAATGAGTTCTTTTAAATATTCATGATATACAAATCATTACTGATGTTACTAAAACGTTGTTGACACCAAGTTTATAATGTTATATATTGAAAAAATAAAAAATTCATAAAGTTATTCAAATATAATATAAATACAAAAAAATTCTGATAAATATATCATATTTGTAAAATGTAACTCAAAAATCAAGTAACAATTAGTGCCAATTTAACTTTTCGTTAATTCTGTTCTAATAATAAATTAATATTAGGAAGTCGTATGTTACATTAGGAACTCATAGATATTACTAATCATGTTACATTGTTATAATACTGGCCAATATTAATATGTGAATACTTTTCAATGAATCATTTGTAGAAAAATTTCAATTATAACAATTAATATATTTGTTATTTTATATAAAAGGTCAACAAAAATATTAATTATGCTTTATTTATATAAATTATATTATAGAAAAAGTTTTTCTAAATTTTAAATATAAATCAACTTAGATTAATAAAATTATTTAGTATATTAAATTACCTAAATTATTTCATGTGTTTCTATATAATATACATTTAAAAAATATCTTCTTTATATATACATATTATATTTGCAAAAAAAAAGTATTGAAAATAATTAGTTGTCATTATATATCAAAGCACGTTATGTTTTGTATTCCTCATTAATATTTTGTATTCCGCATTAATACAAAGTTATAAAATGAATTACTTATGCGATATAGAAATGAGTATAGTATACTAAAATAATGAAGCACAATATACAATATAAGTACAAAAGCTTATATATCTTTCTAAATGATCTTTTTTATAATGATATTCAGTTTATTGTTTTAATAGGTACTTTTTTCTTACTGTTAATAGTTTCATTTTAAACAATAAATATCGTAACAACTATATTATTTCGTTTTGTTAGTTATGATAATACCTAAATTGAATCTATATAATATTTATTAATCATTATTTATACTATATTCACAAATCAAGTTTATTAATATCTTTCATTATTACAAAAAAATTAACTTATTTCTTAATAATTCATTGAAGAATGAATTTAAAAGAAACAGATATATCTTTTAACATAAATTTTGTATGAAATAAAATGTAAAATAAAAATTATAAATATTATAAAATCTACAAAAAAAAATGTTTATAAGAAAATCTTACAAACATAAGAATTTGGTTTTTTTCTTACTACAATGACGCTCTTTAAATAATATACAATGAGATACAATTTATTATTCAAAATGCAAATAATTGCTTGCAATTGCTTTTAATAAATATCGTAAATAATGCACATATTAGTTATAAATAAATTCATAGTATAGAATACACTAAACTAAGTTGCTAAAAAAAAAAGATTAATAATCAGGTCATTACATGCACTGGTACTAAACCAATGGAATACATAAATCATTATTAATTGTTACATAAAATATTCTAATAACTCGTAAAAAAGTTAACTATTGAATCATCTATATATGCATATATATAATCATTCTATTTCTGTGCAAAATGCCAGTCGTACATTTTGATTGCGTAAAAAGAAAGCATAATTATAGCGCAGTTTTTACATTTTATAAAACGACGTACTCAAAATTTGAATGTCAATATATGTATGTGCACACTAAAAAGAAAAGAGAAGTGAGAGATTCGCAAAGGGTCTAAAATCAAGTTCAAATTGAATTATTTACAAAAATATAGAATCAGTGCTATACAAAGTGATTATTTCTTTGTATGTACTACCTATAGACAAACTCGGTTCAGATACAAAACAACATAAAGCAAACATCTTTGATTTTAGAACCCTTAAGTAACAATGGCGAATAATAGGCAAATTATTGAATTCCGTTGATAAGTACAATAATGTAGATTGCTACAATTTATAAACATACGATGATATTTCTAGAATAGTTCTAGAACTCATTTTTAAATTTTATTTTATTCCTGTATGGACAGTAATACCTGTATTATTACATTCTTTATCTGTTAACATTAACATTTTTTTCTTCTATTAACGATTCCTTCTATATTTTTAATATAAGGATGTCAAATCTATTGCAGTCGATAAATATTTTATTTATAATTATATTTTCATGTCTTATCATTACACAAATGTGATGAAGACCTTTCAAGTTTCTTTTTTGGTATTACACGTATGTTATAGTTATCATTCGCTAACTTTAATGTCTATCAATGGTGATCTTTTTAAAGAGTTGGAACTTGGATTTTTCTCATGTATATTTGTCATTGTTTTATGAAAATAAAAAAGAATTGCTCGGAATGTAGCTATCAATATTTTACTGTAACATTTTGTAATATTTCATAAACTTTTCGATACTTTTTAAACTTTTTTCATTAAAACTTGTTATAAATATATGTAAATTTAAATGCATGATTCAGAATTATTTTTTTACATGCACTCCTTTTTCGTGTATGTAAAAATTGAATCCATACTGTAATTATTGGCTTTTTGTTTAGTGTACATGTTTAAAGGTATGAAGATAAAAACATCATCTTCAACTTGTATAATTATTTGAATAATAATGGAGCACTCGGGATTCTTGACCGTTAAATGTCTCATGTTTCAACTACTGGTATAGAATCCTGAGATAATTATCTTGTTCTACCAACTCTTTTTCCCTTCTCTGTTAGTATAGTTAGCAAATTTTTATAAATGTACATGAAAAATGTATATATTTTATACATTAAAACATATAAAACTTGTTATCTTGTTTTTATTTTTGTTGTAATTTCACTTGTTTTTTGTTCTAATCTTACAGCTATAAAACTGAATGTAACTGATTATTCATTAAGTAATATTTTTTGTAAAATTTCAAAATAATTCGTTTTTTTTTGTAAATTCATTGTTTTTCAATTTTTTTAAATACAAAAGTAATAAAGATGTTGCAGCAATCCTTTTTAACACTCTCTTCAAACTGTTGGAGATATAAATAAAGACTTCAGAATTTTATCATTTAAAATAAACAATACTTTATCATCTTCGTTCCATTTTCGATTCTATTCTCAGTCATCATGCATTGCACTTGTTAACATATCTAATCGTCAAATATGTATACGCATTTTTTTTAAATGAAAATTTTTATAATGATATTTGTCGCCTCAATCGAAAGCAATACATTTATAAGAGCGAAATCAGTTTTTATTGCAGTAAGGACAAATCAATATTCAACATTAATCTGTTACTGTTACAAATATAATATTCATATGTCATGTAAAAGTTTATAGCCACCTTACTATTTATTAGCAGGAGCTGTCGATACATTGCACGATTATTTCTACTATTCACATGCTGAATAAAATGATGCACCTTACTGCATTATGACGCAATAGAAAATATTTAGTCATAAGGCATCAGAACGGTTCATTTCCACTGAATTCATTTGCCACTAAGAATTATTAAATATTTAGTTGAAACTATTATTTATACCTAGATTCAAAAGTAGGTACGATAGGTTAATTAGATTAATTTTTTATTGCTAGATAATTTGACTGAGATTTCGATTTTCATTAACTTAAGATAGTTACAATTATTAAAAATTAAAATTATGCAAAGTATCCGCATTAAAACTCCGAGAAAAAAAAAAGAAAAATATCAAAATGATACCTACTTCGATGATATATGGCATCGTAAAATTGATACAATAATTTCCAAATATAAATTATTTACAATAATTTATCATTACATTAACTGTAAACTGTCTTATTAAGTATATAACATATTATATATAAGTTTATGAAAATCAAAAAGTCGTTGCAATATAGTACCAAAATTAATGTTAATATATTCTGGAAACTTTTATATTGTATTAAGTAATTAAAACGTGCAACTTCTTAATTCATTTGTACATACGAGTATTATGCCTTTTGTTAGACGTTTGTAATACAATTAATGTAATGTAATGGTTAGAAAAATGTATTGCACAAAATTAAAAAAGAAAAAAGAGAAAAGAAATAAATACGAACTTTCCAGCTAAAAATCAAATACGGATATCATTTTGTGTAAAAATGTTCTCATAGATACTGTAATCCTATTGTTCAGATAATACATGTGATTACAGTACGTTGTTAATGTTAGGAAAGGTGTTAAATTAATTTTTATGAATCATATGAAGATGAACCATGATCATGAGCAGGACTTGGAGGCGTCGATGGATTTGAACTGTTGTTTGAAGCTATTGAATGTCTAGGACTTCCACCAGAGGTATGTTCCTACATTAATGGAAAATATATTGATTTTCTACCTATGTCATTTTTATGTTCGATTAATATTTTCAATAAAGAAAAAGTAATACCTTGTCGTGTAATGATGCAATGCTACCAAGAGAAAGTGGAGTATGCGATCGTAGATGCACAGATTCCGAATCAACTTGGTCCACAGGAGTACGTGGTAACGAAGGTGGAGTAGCAGTCGGTCGTGGCGGTGCTGGTCCTCTGCGTGATGAACCTACGAAAAAATTGCATGTATTATATATAAGATATTTCAAATAAAATTAGATAACAAAATAAAGTGAGCATATATGTACCGTTATGCGGTGAGTATCCGGAATTTCTGGATATATGAGAACTAAGACGTCGTGTATCAGAAGGTGGGTGCCTAGGCGGCAGTGGCGCTGGTTTACTCGATGTTTGAATTGCCGGACTATACAACTAAAAACAAAAAAAAAAAATGTAAATAGATATTTGATGCACTTAAAAATACATAAAGATATGTTAAATTCTTACTCTTTGTTGGCTGCTATGAAGATGAGAGCTACTGTGATGACTGCTATGTTGTTGATCAGCTGTTTCGAGTGTAGTAGGTAAGTTTAATAATCGTT